GTTCTATAAAAGCTCTACCGTAAGGCCTATTGCCTGCTACTCCCCAAACTGCACCCCGCTGCTTTCCACGGCCGGGCTGACCGACGATCAGATCAACCGTGACGTGCGGCTAACATCTGCGAGCCCATTGGCAACGCTGCTACGCTCTTCTTGCGTACTCCCTTTTCGCTAGCTCCCTCTCTTGGTCTCCATTTATCTTGCGGTATTCGCAGCTGCGCATGGTTGGGTCTCTCGTCAAGCAATTTTTATTTTAAGTGGCAGTTGGGACGCAAAAAGCAAGTGGAAAACACACACAATCAAGTATATGCAGCGTGCAGCACACAACACCCTGGGCGACGTCCTTCCCATCGACACAGGCCCCTGCAAGGCGCCCGAATTGAAACATGTATTACGCAAACCGAGAAATAGGGAAAACCACATAATCAGAGGACAGATTCTCAGACTTTCAAAATATTCTCGCCTCGGACTTCGCATGCAATTTGCAATCTACTGCTGGGTTTATGTCAACGGTACTTGAGACACAAAACAATAACAGCATCCTAAAAACACGTAGCGGTTTGTACGGTGTTGTTGGTCGCACGGCGGGCCTCGTCTTGTTAGACAAGCTTTCACCAATTTCTAGTTTGCGGACTTGGCGCTCTGCACGTCCATGTCGCGACTACCCTGAACAAGCAAATCTGCCGACCCTGTTGGCGTGTGTGGGGTGTCTGTCCGGTCCTGTCGACGGGGAACCTTCTTTCGTCCCCTCCTTCCCATCCTCCTCGCCCGTCGGGGGAGAGAGAGAAAAGAGGGAGAGAGAGAGAGAGAGAGAGAAAGAGAGAGAGAGAGAGAGCACCCTGCCTCGTTCGGGGAACGGGTTCGAACCTTGAGGGGAGTCCATCCACGTCCTCATTACGTCAAAGGGAAGCTCGTTCTATTTGTCCCTTCCTTGGCGGGGGGGGTGGTCCAGGGGAGGGAGGGGGGGATCAGAGTCGCATCGCCTCTGGGGTCCTTCTCTGGCGCGCCTGTCCTTCTCCCCAGGTGGGGGGGAGTCCCAGGGGGGGCGGAGAGTCAGATACGCATCCGTCCCTGGGCGTCCTCCTCCCTCTCCCCTCCCCTCTCCCTCGCCGGTCCTCCTCCGGTCATCCGGCCCAGAGGGGGGGGGCTCAGGGGGGAGTCCTTTTCCTCCTCCTTCTCCTCCTCCTTCTCCTCCTCCTCCTCCTCCTTATCTCCGCCTCCTCCTCCTCTTCCTTCTCCTCCTCCTCGCCCTCCTGGTCGTCGTCGATGTCTTTCAGGGTCGGCGGCACCGGCCGTCAGGCCTTCACAGGAGCGCTGCGGAACGAAAAGGGTCATGCACCGGTGGTGGGGCATCCTCGGCATTGCAATACCGCACTATCTTAAACCTTTGCGGGGATCTCCCAAGCATGCCCTTGGAGGCCCCATGTGGGCTAGCTGATCTGGAGATCATTTGATCCTCCTCCTCTCCCCCCTCTCTCCCTAATTATTTCTTTATTTGTTGGTTCGGTGTCGGTGCCCGATCATTTTCACGCAGCGCTCAGCTTTTGCACCCAAAGTGTTGTGTCTATTGCGTAAAAAATACAGCCATACCTCCAGAGCGCGCTCACGATACGCGTGTGTAACGGTTTACATTGCGACAATTGGGCAGCCCAAACTAGTAGTGCCTTATATTCTGCGTGATGCTCACAGCCAAGTTCACTTCTATCACAACACGCACGGGCTTCTTCAATGGCAGGCACGGCTTTCCATATTACGAAACCTCATTTTTGTCACGTGATTTAATGTGACAACTCGGACACTGCCATTGCTGTGGCGCAGAAAGACCCAACAAACAACGCTAGTGCCGCTGAAAGGGCAAACCAACCAACCCGCATATGGAAATTTCACGCATCTTCCGGCTTATTTCGGCAAGCGCGCAAAACAATGCTAGGGTGGTAAATGCAACCCATGTCGAACAACAAATACTGAGCTCCGCTCGGGGCGACTGGCTCGGCCAGCATGGGCAACGACAATGTTTGCGACAACGGCGATGCCAACGACGGTAAACAATAACAGATCAACAGACAAATCATGCAGCTGTTTGGTAAATCGCGTCCCCGAAATATTGGCAGTGCGGAGCGGCGCCCGTAGGGCCGCCATTTTTCTCGACTGGCGAAACTGACCAAATCCCGCCTGATACCAAATCCCGCATGGCTTGTTGCCGAAATCCATATGCTTGGCTACACTAACGATTGCGAGGCAAAACGATTTTCCAATGTGGGTTAACAACCGACCGACACGGGCACGGATCATATTCTTGCTGCTACCCAGGGTGTGGCCACAATACCCCACAGCACATCGAAAGAGTTCAGGGGACTGCAACTTGCGCCAGCGAGTTGTTTGGTTTGATCATGGGGATTGGAGCCAATTGCTAAACCAATCTAGGATCAGCATGGCCAAGAACGATTCTCAGGCTAAGTGTGAACCCAGCGAGGCCCCTGGAGAGAAGATTGACAAAGCATGGTTCTTCATCAGACGCGTGGAATTGAGCCATGCTGCCCTGGCGCTTACATCCATATGGATTACTCCAGGTACCCAAGCTACGCGATACGATCTGACCAACCTGACATTACGGCCGGCGCTACCCCCACAAAAAATCAGGAGGAACAAATACACACACAACTAATCGTCGATCACCCGGAAAATATACTTGTGTCCCTGGGCCCTTTTAGGAAGCACCCTGATAGCAAGGAACATCTACTTGTGCCCCTGGGCCCCTGCAAATAGCACCCTGTGAGCAGCAAGGGTGAAGTGGCACGTCGAGGAGCAGGAGGTCGAGACACGGTAGTGTATCTGTTACAGTAGATGGTGGCCGTCCAGACCCAGACGTAGCCAGCATTGAGGCGAGGGGCACGACTCCCGAGTAAATTTGGCGGCGCGCAGAAGGGGGTGGGGGGAAGGGGGGGCTTCTTAGAAGCACCCGGGCCCCTGCCTCTTACAAGGCGCGGGCCTTCTCTTTAGATGTAAGGCCGGCGCCTGCTAAGAAGCAGCCTCCTTCTAAGAAACCCTTCCCCCCTCCCCCCACCCCCCTGTGCGCGGGATGGGTCGCGGGGTGGGTCGCGGGTGGGACGACGACAACAACAGCCACAGCAACAACAACAACCACAACCACCACAACAACAGCAACAGCAAGAGCAACAACAACAGCAACAACAACAACCACAACAACAACAATAACACCACCACCACCATCACCACTACCACCACCACCACCACCACCACCATCACCGCCACCAACGACAACAACAACAACAACAACAACAACAACAACAACAACAACAACAACAACAACAATCATTTTACCCGAACGCGTGGTGTTCTCCCCAGTGCCAGGGTTTTCATACGACACCAGGCAATACCCCCACTTCGTGGGGGGGCATTACAAGCTCTACCAAATATCCAAACGACTCTTCGCGACCACCCAAACCCAGCTTCCCGCCCTATGACGTTGGGACACTTCACTTCGTGGCGTGCGGACGACCGTGGCTACTACACTGGCGTGGGGTACACACCCACAGAACCCAATGGTTTTTGGAGATTTCGGCGTGCGCGCGCGAAGAAAAAACGAATGTGTCCCGCATGGTATTATTTGACAGGGATGATGGCCCTGGCAGGTGCGCAACCGTTGTCGCAGAAGTTCGAAAAAGTTGCTCGCAAAAGCCCGTTTGACAGAAATGTTTAAAAAGTGTTGGGTTTCCTACGAATCCGCAAGAGCGCGCGGGATGAGATTTTGACATTTTTTTGTTGAAAAACCATTGGTTTTTTGATGTTTTTATGTTAAAATCGCTCCGAACACTAAGCTTTTGGAAGGATTTCGTCTTGCGCGCGCGAATGTCCACTTTACCTTATTTTTTGCAAGGGATTCTTGAAATTTGATTATATTAGAACAAGAAATGTCATTTTATAGTGTTTTTTGCAAGGGAAAGCGGGGGGGAACAAAAAACCGGATCCGGACCCCATCCACTTTTCTGAAGCTTTCGCGAAAAAAATGATGAAAATGTAGCTGCGGCCTAGGCGCGGCGCAGAGGTCGCGCACCAGGGGTCCCAACAATAATAATTCTTTAGAAGGAATAATGTTCAACAACAACAACAACAACAACAACAACAACAACAACAACAACAACAACAACAACAACAACAACAACAACAACAACAACAACAACAACAACAACAACGAGCAGAATTATCACTACGAATTCCTTGTTCAACCACGCACCCAGGGATAATGAATGACCGTTCGGCCCCCTCACTCTGACAACATCTCGAGCAACCACGACCAGAGCCCTGGACCCCATCTTTCTGCGGCATTCTTCGAGCCAGACCGATCCGTGAGGTCTCGGGGCCCTCAGCCGGGCGCCAACGCCCGGATTGAAACAATTGCAGCGCCCGGAGCTTGCTCGGGTCTCCGGCGGCCGTTCGGGACGACCTGGGCAGCCCCCGGACGCCTCTCGGCGAGGCGCAGCTGCTGGAGAGCACCCCGAGGCGGGAAACTTGCCGAGGACCGCCGGAAACAAGGGAGCACCTCGACAACTGAAACTCTCGGACCTTCGAGGGTCGGGAAGGCTGCTGGGCTGAGCTGGAGGAGAGCGGCCAGCTTCGGCACAGAGGCGCTGGGGAACGCACGGCCAGAACGCGGCGAATCGGGGGACTTTCTGGCCTCGGCGAGCCTCGGGCCACGACGAGGACCGCCGAGGAAGGAACGACGGGGCTCTTCTAGCCACGCCATCGTGCTGCCAGGAGGAACGCAGAGGGAGGAGCGGATGGGTCTCTCCTGGCCACGGCGAGCCTCGGCCACGAAGAGGTTCCCCCGACCTGGACCTCAAGAGCGGCCCGACAGCCAAAGCCCCTCCTTGTGGCCCCTCTTTCACTGCCGTGACTGCAGGTCCGAGTCAGAGGCGCAGCTCCTGTGGGGCTCTTGCCTCCTCCCTCCCTGCCTCCCTGCCCTTTTCTGGCTCATCCTCAAGCGTATCCTTTTTCGGCTCCACTGCTCCGCCTCGCCCTCGAGCGTAACCCAGGAAGCGCCCCGAAGCCCCACGGCCAGGGGGGGGGAGGAGTGGGGAGACGGAGGGGGGCGGAGCAAGCGCGTGCTGGCCCCCGTCGCAGTCGGAGGCGCTCCCTGCCCCCTGGCGTGAGGGGCGGAGGGCGCGGAGGACGACGGGCAGGCGGTCGCTTTTGCGAAGCGCTCCCGCGGCACAGGGGCAGAGGCCGGGGCGCTCGGCTCGGCTCGGCGGCGCTTCGTGCTCGAGCAGCGCCCGCCGTGCGATTCACCTAGAAGAGCAGACTCTGGCAGGCGCGGCGCTGCAGAGCTGCGACGTGCAACAAGACCTATTCCCGCCCACTTTTTTGTTCATGGACGTCTCGAGAGACTTGATGGGGACGGTCCAGACATTCGGCGCCTTGAGAAAAGTCGAAGCGGCTCGTTTCTTCAGCCTCCAGAGGCTGGCCTCGGGCCTCGGGGCCGTCAAAAAGCTGCTCGGCGTGAGAAATCTGCCCTGGGGGGCCCAAGAGGACCCGGGGCTCACACATCAACAACAAATCGTCTTGGGACTACATGCACTCACGTGCAGGGCCCTCCTCTCGCCCTGGGGGGCGGGGGGAGGTTCCTCGGCCCGTCGGGGCTTCGCAAAGGGTCCAGACAGTAAAAACGACTGTATTCAGTTAAGCTTTCGGAGCTCCACGCGGATCCCTTGGATCGGCGCTGGACCCCCCCGCCCTGGCGCGCGGAGCGCGCCAGGGGGGCGTCGCTGGAGGCGCCGCCAGGGGGACCCAGCGCAGATCCAAGAAATCCGCGCGGAGTTCCGCCAAGTTTATGTCCATGCCGTTGATTCCATCACAAGCCCATCCCAGTGGCCAAGTCATGGAAGTTCGACGGTCAGCAATTATTCTAGTACTGCACTGTGAAGCCAGTACTCGTTCAAGAACGCACGCCCTGGAGCTGAGGATGCAATCTGGGGTCAGAGTCTGGGCTCGCGCATCGTCCCATAATACCGGTCGCGATGACCCGCACCCTTGCGTGAAGTGCGCGCTGATGTCACGATCGTCCTTGATGGCAGTTCAATTATGATGGGCCGCGGTGGCATGCAAGCGTGTCAGGGTGCACTCTGAGAGCACAAGTCGCTCCAAGATGCAAATTTTGAAACCGCTCCACCCTGACAACACATAACGCCACAGCAAGCTACGAACCTCGCAGGCAGCGGACACAAGCCGTCCGAGAACACCGTTTTTGGAGCTTTGCCACCCAGGCCCACGAGTGAGGGATGCGCCCCCGTCCCCGAGGGTAACAAATCAGGCCCGAGAGGTCCCGCAGCTCGGGTGATCGTCGACGGGTGCGGGAGACACACGCACCCCTCGCGCACACGTTGGGCCTGTGGTGGCATTTTAGGAGACGTTCAGGGCCCCTGTGGGGCCACCTTCCTGTAATCCTCGACCCCCCCCCCCCCACACACACGTTTACTGCCCTCCCGTTGCATCCGCTCGAGCAGAGGGCGCAGACAAGGCGACCCCTGTCAAGGCGAGATGACGTGAGCGCAAAACCTTCTGGGACCGGCCTCCGCCTCCCGCTCGCCGAATCGGGCGCCAAACACGGAGGAGGGCCCCCACCCCCCCTGGCGCCACTCTCTTGCCCCGCCTCCCCTGTTTCCACGAATTCTCATTATCCTGTTGGTGCTCCTCCTCCTCCTCCTCCTCCTCCTCCTCCTCCTCCTCCTCCTCCTCCCAATCATCCTCCCTCTCATCCTCCTCCACCTCCACCTCCTCCCTATACTCCTCCTCCCTCCTCTTCCTCCTGCTCCTCCTTCCTCCTCGTCCCCGTCATTCCTCTTCCGCGTCCTCCTAATAATCCTCCCCCTCCGCCTTCTCCCCCGCGCTCTCATCGTCGGCATCCCTGCGAAGAGGCGGCGTCACGGCGCGGCCGATCGCGGAGTTCCCGGCCATGACTCGGGCTACTGGGGAGGGGAGAGGAGGAAATGCAGAGGATGTCCACCTCTTGCTTCTCCTTGCTCCTCCTCGCCGTCGTCTCATCTTGGCCATCGTCGCTCGTCGTGGTCGTGGTCGTGGTCGTGGTCGTGGTCGTCGTCGTCCCCCTCCTCCTCCTCCTCCTCCTCCTCCTCCTCCTCCTCCTCCTCCTCCTCCTCCTCCTCCCCCTCCTCCTCCTCACCCTCCGACTCTTCCTGCTCCGAATCCCTCCCTCCCTTCCTGCTGGGTCCCCTCGCGGCACAAACACCTAATCCGAGCAAGCAGAATTCGATGTCGAAGCTCTCAGGCCATGCGGAGGCATTTGAAGGCCACGTCGTCGACCAGGGAGCTCAATCTCTTCGATCCCCCATCCTTCGACCCCCATCCCCTTTCTCCCCCTTTCCCCTACCGCGCAAGAGGGAGAAATGGGTAAATAGAGGGGAGGGTCGGGAAAGGCAAGGGGGGAAGAGAGGAGGGGGAAGGGCAAGGTAGGAGAGGGAGGGAGTCGGGGAGAAGATGAGTCTGCCCCCCCCGACCAGAACCGTTGGTAGAGGAAGAGGGGGATACAAAAATATGGGGTTCCAGACTCGCGTGAGTGGATCGAGGGGGCCCCGATTTCCCCACCATCGCCTCATCTTACTCATCCTCTCCACCTCCTGCCTCATCCCTCTTGTCGACGGCGTCCAACTCCTTCTCCTCCTTTTCCTTTCTCTCCTCCTCCTCCTCCTCCTCCTCCTCGTTCTCTTCCTCTTCCTTTACCTCTTCCTCTTTCTGCTTCTCCTTCTCTCCTCCTCCTACTGGCCTTCCCGCCTCCTTTCTCCTCTTCCTCTTCCTCCTCCTCTTCCTCCTCCTCCTCTTTCTAATACTCCTCCTCCTACTTCGTCCTCTTCCTCCCTGCTCCTTCCCCTCCTTGCTTGTCCCACCCCTTTCCCTGCCCGTCCCTCTCCCTCACGTCCTCTGCCTCTCCCTGCTCCTTCTGCCTCCCCCTGCCTCCCCCTTCCTCCCCCTCTTCTTTCATCCTTTCCCTCCCCTCTACACTCCTTCCCCCCTCGCCCTCCGCCTCGGCGAACGGCGCCGCCCGCGGCCGAGAGGCCCGCGCCCTCGATCGGACTGCTAGGCTCGCCCCCGCCCAGCGCGCCGCCCGCGCGCGCCCCCGCCCCCCGCCGCGGCCCGCCCCGGCGCGCGGTCCTCCTCCCTGAGCTTCTGCAGCTCTTCGACGGCGGCGAGCCGCGCCCGCTCCACCTCCTCCGCGGAGTCGTCCTTCGGGCGGAAGGTGGACCGTATGAGGCGGCCTTTGTCTGAGCCGTGCCGCTTCTTGTACCGAGTTACCCAAGTCGAGTCGCGAGCTCTCCAACTGACGCCCTGGACGCCGCTCTGGCGCTGCACTCGCGGCGCGGCGGCCCCCTCCCGCACCTCGACGGCGCGGCCCTGCTCCCGCTCCAGCTCCCGGAGGCGCGCGACGGCCAGGAGCCGCGCCCGCTCCACCTCCTCGGGCGTGTCGTCCTTCGGGCGAAAAGAGCCCCCTTGGATGCGCGTCTGCTTTCCAGAGGCTGATACGGACTTCAATTGCACTCGCCAAGCCCTGCCGCTGCTCTCCCAAAACACTCCCGGCACGCCGCTCCGCCGCTCCGCGGCCTTGGGCGCCCTCGCCTGCCCGGCCCTCTCCAGCTCCCGCCGGAAGGCGACCGCGGCCTGGAGCGCCGCCGCCTCGGCGGCCTCCGGGCCCCGCCCGGGCTGCTGGTACCGAGCCGCCGGGAAGCATTTCGCACGACCTTTGTGGCCCTCCTGCCAGCTTACCTTCCAACCTTGCTTTGTGACCGACCAGCAGACCCCAGGGACGCCACTCTGCTTCGCGACCACCATGAACTTCCCGCCGCCAAAAGACTTACCCCGAGCATATCCAGCCGGCACTGCCGGCCCCGCCAGGGGCGGCGCCGCTGGCCCGGCAGCCGGGGGCCGCCGCTCCCTCGCCGGGGCGTCGCCCTCCGCGGGCGCGGGCTGCAGCCCTGCCGTCGCCTGGGGGGCCGCGCGCCGGCCGTTGGTGAGGAGAGGAAAGCCGGCCCACCTTCTTCTCCTCCTCCCTCTCCCCAGCTCCCTGTCTCTTCCGCGTCCTCCTCCTCCTTCTTCTCCTCCTCGTCCTTCCTCGTCCTTCTCCCCTTTCTCCTTTCCTTGCTCCATTCGTCCTCACCCTGCTCATCCTCCTTGTTATCGTCCCCCTCCTCCTCCCTCCCCTGCTCCATTCCTCCTCCTCCTCCTTCTCATTTTCCTCCTCCGCCTCCCCCCGTCCTTCCTCTTTTTCTTCTTTCAATCGCCGAGCGGATGATGAAACAATGTCCACACACTGTTCGTGTATGTTATACTCAGAACACTTGCCGCTCCGCACGCACCTGGAGTGCCACCGACAAACCCCGTATAGTGTTTGACACTCTACCACGGGCTGCGACCTGCCAACGCATGGTGGCTACAATGTTACTCCGATCGCAATGCCTTCAGCAAGAAACGCGAACCCCGTGCCCGTCCAAGGTCAGCAAAACGACATTATCGTTTTCCGACTTCTCCTCCTCGTCCTCCTCGTCCTCCTCCTCGTCAACATCCTTCTCCTTGTCCTCGTCCTCGCTCCTCCCCTTCTCCCTTCCGCCTCCCCCTCCTCATTCTTCGTCCAATCGCAGAGCGGATTAATAAACGACGTCGACCAAATATTCGCGCATGGTCTACTCAGGACCCGTGCCTCTCCGCATGCATCTGGAGTGCCACCCTCGTGGTACACTCTACGTCACTCCACCACGGGCTGTGACCTGCCACTGCCTTCTGCAAGAAACGCGAGCCCTGGGCCCGTCCAAGATCAGTAAGACGACAGCATCGTCCTCCCCCCCTCCTCCATCTCCTCCTCCTCCTCCTCCTCCTCCTCCTCCTCGTCGCCTACCCGCCGTGCCTCCTCGCCTGGCCCCGTGCCCCCGCTCCCGCTGCCCTGTGGCCTCTCTTTTCCGAGGGAGCCCCAGACGGTGCTGTGGTTCTCGACCCAGACATGCTCGCGTCGCGAAAGAAAACACGACTGCGGTTTTTGGCACTTGTCGGCCTCCGGGGTCTTCGTCGGGTCCCGGGACGGTCAAAACACGACCTGGGACGCAAGACTGGTCCTGGGGAGTGGTCGAGACCGGCGCGGTGGTTCCTGGCGTTCCCTCCTGCCGACTCCATCCGATCCTCCTCTCGCTCCTCCAGCTCCCCCGCCCTCGCCGCTCCCGCTGGCCCTCCCCCTGCGTCCCCCCCCCCCTCCGGTGGCCGCCGCTGCGTCTATCGCCCTCCCGGTCCGCCCCCCTTCGCAAGGGTCCTCGGCTCCGCCCGCCGCTCCCGCTCTTCTGCCGCTGCCGGGGCCCGCCTCCCTGCCTGCGCTCCCGCGCCCTCCCTTGCCGAGGCCCAGCGAGCTGCGTTTCCCACCAGCGGGCCAGACCGCCGCCGCCTCCATCCCCACTCCTCCTCCTGCTCGATCCTCCTCCTCGACTCTCCTCCTCGATCCTCCCGCTTTCTGCTCCTCCACCCTCCTTCCTCCTCGACCCTCCCTCCTCCTCCTCCTCCTCCTCCTCCTCCTCCTCCTCCTCCTCCTCTTGCTGAGGCCTGGGCTGGACCGCCTTCGCCTCCCGCCCCCGATGCGCTCTCTGGCTCGCGGCGCCCTTGAGAAAGTCGGATAGTTGCCTGGTGTAGTGTCTTGTCTTGTTGTGTGCTTGCCTGCCTGCCTGCGTGCTCGCTTGCTCGTGTCCGGTGTCCCTGCGTGCTCGACTGCTGGCTTACAATCTCGCTGGCTTGCCTGCCTTGACCGATTGCAGGCTTTACTCGTCGACCGTTTGGTTGCTTGCATCCTTGCGGGATTGCATGCAGGAGCGCCGCTAAGCGAGAACGTCCTGCACGAGCTGTTTCCTTTGACAGCCTTGTGCGCTGTTGTATCCGACTATTATGTCATCCGTCTTCCATCCCATTCCTCCGTACTCGTCATCTCTCACCCTTCGTCTGGAGTCCAGCTTCTGAGGTATGTAGCTCATGCTCTTTTACTCTTCCAATCCCAACTCTCCCCATTCGCCTGTTCACCAGCAGCGCTGGGGTCAAGTGCACTGTCGCTAGCCGCGTTGTGCGAGACCTTCACCTGGCCCTGGCCCTCGAAGACTTCCGACCCTGGCGCGATGCATGTTGGCGTTACGCGCCTGAGGAGCTGCTTTCATAACTCGCCGAAGCTTCATCGCAACCAGAAGCCAACCTCACCTGGATCTCCCATCCTGCCCACCAGAACTCCTGGCGCAATGTAAACCTGATGGAGCCACGAAGCCCGACCTTTTAAAAACACATTCGTGCGAGCATGAAGCGGGGAAGGAGGTTGAAGATGAGAAGAGCAAGGCAGAACAATGGGAAGAGTGAAAAGGAACAGAGAGTGGGAGAGGAGGCCCGTGTCATGTCGGTTCCTATGTTGAACGTTTTCTACTAGAACCGTTTTGGAGCCTCGGAGGGCCTTTTGGGAGCCTTCTGGGACTTCCTGGGGGCCTCTTGGGAGGCCCTCTTCGTAGGTGTTCGAACCCCTGTCGGGGTATGGGGCTTTGAGGGTTCTCTTGAGGGCCTCTCGGGGGCCTTTGTGCAACGCATTGGAGCCAGTCATGAGGGCCTTGTAAAAGGTTCGCCGAAGGCGTGGCGATCGAAACAAGCGTCCAAGCGCAAACAATGTACATGTGGTTGTCCATATGCATTTTCAGCTCGCTCGTGAGCCCTATTCAATTTCGGTGTTTTTAGTTTGTCTTCCGATGGGTTCTTCATAACTTGTTCTCCGGATGGCATCTGGCAGAGTCTCCCTCCCATTTGTATTCTGGCAAGGGGCATGGCTTATACTCAAAGGGTTCTTCTACTACTGGAGCCCTTTTAGTTTCATCGTGGGGAAATTGTTTCGCGGTATCCTGGCATATGGTTGCATAGCTGGTCAGTGTTCCGGATTATGCTGGGTTGGACCTTGTTTCACATGGTCTGAATGCACCCAGGCCTCCTATTCCCAAGCATCGTGTGGTGTTGGGTCCTTGTTCCGAATCCGCAGCGCCGCGCCCCACCTCCCCCTGCTCCCCCTCCGCCTCCGCCTCCTCCTCCTCCTCCTCCTCCTCCTCCTCCTCCCTCTCCTTCGTCCTTCCATCCCTATCCGCATGTATCTGTTTCGGCACACTTCTCATGCGCTTCGTGGCCCCATAGGGCACGCCACCGAAGCCCCCAGGGGGTGGTATTGCATAGTCCCCCCTGGCCATTTCGGCTCCACCGAGGCCCACAGGGGGTGGCATTCCCCCCCCCCCCCCACGGCTACTTTGGCAAACCCTCACACGTTCCATGGTCCCACAAAGAGCTCCACCGAAGCCCCCAGGTGGTGGTATCGCATGGCATCCCCATTGAACATGTCGGCACTCCTCTCACAGTTTCCGTTGCCCCAGAAAGAGCTCCACCGAAGCCCACAGGGAGTGATCTGGCAAAGCCCCGACCACTTCGGCACACCCCTCAAACGACTCGTGGCCCCGCCAAGGGAGCTCCGCCGTGAAGCCCCCAGGGCTCCCCATGCCAGTTCGGCGTACCCCTCGCTCGTTTCGTGGCCTCAGAGGGAGCTCCACCGAAGCCCCCAGAAGGTTGGTATGGCATGGCGGCCCACCGGCCATTTCGGCACATCCCGCACGTTTCGTGACCCCATCCGGAACCCTAGAGAAGCTCCAGGGAGTGTGATTGCGTCCGCATTGTAGTTTCGGAACACCCTCACACGTTTCGTGGCCCCGAAGGGAGGGAGCTCCACCGAAGCCCCCAGGGCGTGGTGTTGCGCCCCCCGACTTTCTCGGCACACCCTCATACGCTTCGTGGCCACGCAAGGAGCCCTACCGAAGCCCACATGGAGTGGCAGTGCATAGCATCCCCCCGACCATGTCGGGACACCCCTCACACCTTGCGTGGCCCAAGAGGGAGTTCCACCGAGCGCCTCGGTCCCACAAGGAGCTCCACCGAAGGCCCCAGTGGCAAGACCGCCACCGGCACACCCTTCGCACGTGTCGTGGCCCCGCGGGCGGCCCCACCGAACGCCTCAGCAGCAGGGTCTCGCATCCAGTTCCCCCGCCAATCTTGGCGCACCCCTCAGGGGCTCTGTGGCCCTGCAAAGAGAACTCCACCGAAGGCCTCAGCAGCAGGGTATCGCATGCGTCCCCCCTTTCGCGGCGCATTGCGTATGCTAAGAGTTCTTGGCGCCTCATTGGCCACCACACTTGGAGACCTCTTGATCTTGCGTCCTGCGTCACCCACTCCAAACTCCTCCAGCTCCAGCTCCACGCGCCGCCAACGGGCCTACCTGCGCACAACTATAAACGTGCGGGAACTCCAGTAGTCATAATCGGTCAGGCACAATACGCAATTCGTATTTTGCCCCAGCGCAAATTTGAATAACAGTGAAGGCGAGGAGAAGGGAGACCGCGAGGAGACGGCAGAGGAAGGGGAAGGAAGAAGGAAAAGCAAAATCGGGGTCGGCCCCACTTTTGGGTTTGGGCGAGGGCATCGGGACTAGCTCAGCTCACGGGTCCTCAATGCCTTGACGCCTAGCCCACTTTGAGGCCCCTTGACGCCTAGGAGGCCCCCTGCAGAATACGGCGGAATACGATTTTCGTCTGAACCCCGAGCGCCAAGCGAGAACCACTTCGCGCATCCCATCATCGGGTGTATCCGCGCTCCGAAGACCGTGCCCCCTTGTCACATACAGTGGATGCTCGTTCCCACGGCTATTGCGCGTTGTTTTATGCAATGTGGCCGCGCTCCCAAGGCCACCGACCTCTGTAAGCACAAGTTCGGGCACAACGGTCTGCAATCTTTGCCGTTGCGTAATGCTGCTACCTGCCGCGTGGGCAAAGCTTCGCGCCTCTTGACGTCGCTCTCAGGGCCTCGTGTGGGCCTCTTCCAGCCTCTCGAAGCATGTTGAGCTGGACTGGGACCTTACGAGACAAGACATGCTGAGCCCCCCCTCGCGGTTGTATGAAGCCTCCCTTGGGGACCCCTCAGGCAGCCGTGGAGCGCCTTAAAGCCCTGTTGGGACCCCATGGAGCCGTCTCGGCGCGCTGTGAGCGCCGTTGTGGGCTGACTTGTGGCTCGTGGGCCGCCTGGAGCCTTCCCTGAGGCCCTCTTGGGCAGTCTTGGGGACATCTTGGGGCTCCCTTTGCCCCTGGAGCCTCTCGTGAGCCTTTTAGCGCCCGTGGTGCATTTTTGGAATATCCTGGAAGGCTCTCGGGCTGTCCTGACACCATCCTGGAACTGCCCCTGGTAAGGACCAAAAAGAGCGAGTCTCGTCTCACGCTTAATCACGCCCCGAAGGGCAAGCCGCCTTAGCTTTAAAGGTGCTCGATGATCGCATTGTGCTTCCCGTGGTACGGTGGACCGGCGCTCGAGCAGTCACGATACCTTGCGAACGCGAGGGGTCCGCCCTCGCACAACCACTGTTCCTCGTAAAACTTCTTCGGGCTCAACGGGAACTAGGGCCTCTTGGCCCCTCTTCGGGTTCAGAAGGTCCCAACTAGGGCCTCTTGGGCCCTAGTTGGGACCTTCTGAACCATTGCCGTGCTCTCTGCAGAAATATTGGGGCTGGGGTCTCTTGGGGAACTCTCGAGGTAACCTTGGACGCCTTCTGGGCCCTCTCAGGCCGTCCTGGAGAGCACGCAGTGAGCCGACGAGGGGTGTGCAACATTCCACCGCCAACCCATTGAACTGTCGCTCCTGCGACCGTAGTCAGCGGTGAGCATCCAGCCGTGGCCCTTCCACACCCAGCCGGGAAGCTCGTACTCGAACCACGGCAAGTCGCAGTTCCACTCGGGACCAGGTAGGCGGCGCTACGTGGCGGGTTATCTTTGTTGTTTCAGTATCCTCCCAGAGACGAGCGCGCGGCAGGGACGTGTTCCAGTAACTGCCGTCCTTCCTCTCCCAAGCCTCCTCGTCCTGCTCCCCCCTCCCCCTTCCCCTCCTTCTACTCCTCCCTCCTGTCCTGGGCCCCCTCGCCAGGCCGTACCCCGCCCAATTGCAGTCTCGGACACAGTGCTTTCAGTTCCTTCCTCCTTCCTTCTCTCATCTTTTTCCTCCTATCCCTCCTCCCCTCTCCTTCCTGCTCGTCCTCCTCCTGTTGGTGGCCCTGTGCTCTGGAATTGCGTTGGCACTGTGCGGTGGTATTGCGCGTTGGAGGTGCGCCCTCGCACCCTCGTGCTCTTTACTGGCGCTGTGGCAGCAGGGCCGAAGGAAATTAGAGGGTCGTAGATGAAAAGGATGCAGGGAGAAGGGGATAGAGAATATGGGGACAAAGTTAGGGGTTAGGGAGGGACGGGGGAGAATAGGTGGAACGAGAGAGAGAGAGAGAGAGGAGGGATGGACACGAGAGTGAAGGCGGAGGGAGGAAGTGAATGGAGGGAAGGATGAAAGGAAAGGGAGTGAATAGGAGGGGGAGAAGGATGGACAATGTGCCGCTGCCACCACACATTCACAACTACAAGTAAAGATGACACATGCGAGAAAATTGCAATCCTTGATCGGGCCTTTGGGAAGACGCCGCCGCTTCGCAAGTTCAGGATGAAGCATGGTGTCCCACACGCGCGTGGAAAACATCCCTTGCCTTAGCATGCTGAGGTGAGCCCAGTCAACGGGAACGGCCATCACACATGGCGACCCTGGGCAGCACTGCAACACATGCTGGAAGCGCTGCTACACGAAACCCTGATATCGGGCAGACATAAGACTCGGATTCGGGGGACCAGGGTTGGTCTGACGGTGCCGTCAAGAAAATGACGAGACCCAATCTGAAATTTGACGCGACCTCCCGCTGCAAACATCCCACGAAAACTGGACCGTCCAAATCCGGGACAGGGCCGTCAAAAAACGTCAGCAAACCCGAGTTCCGACATACTGTCTTACAGTTTCCGATCCAACTAAGACCCCTATCAAGCATGACCCTGCCAAGTGAGCGTTCTTTGTTCGGCGTTTCGACGCTGGGCGGAAGGGGGGGAGGGGGGGGGGTCTGGCTCTGGACCTCTGCTTAGTGCGACTGTTTGCAAGAGTGCTGCCTCTGGGGTGAGACTTCACCTGCTCGAAACAGGCGCCCAAAACAGCCAAGATCTAGTCCAGGGGGGAGGGGGGGAGGGGGGGTGCAAGGGAAGGCGCCGATCGGCAAAACAATGAATAAAAAAACGATCACCAAACACCGCTCCAGAGTTCCCGCTGTTAGACGAGCGCGTTCCACTACTCGCAAAGTGACTACTCGCAAATGGCCTAGATTCGCCGCGGGGAATCTACTATAAATCACATCGAAACGGACATGCGTTTTTGGGACGTTTGCGAGTAGGCACTTTGCAAGTAGTGGAACGCGCTCGGTGAGCTGTTTCTTTACTCGATTGCACCCCCTTTGCAGAGCGCTGCTTGCCAAACAGTGCGCATGCGTGACATGAAACACGAACACATACAAGCCGAGACAATCACCACTTGTGATCTGACTGGCCGCTCTCGATGAACTCCCTGAACTCCCGGCGCTGCTCCTGGTGGAGAGCCAGCTCTGACACACCGCCCCAATCAAAAACCACTCCCCGCCTTATCCTGGTAAACTGGCGGTGTATGATAGTTTGATCTCGTTGCGACCAAACTGTTGTACATCACCCCTGGCGCAAGACAAAAGGTAAATACCGCTTTGGAAAAATGTGTTCAACAACGGATCCCGTCCTTGGTCAGCCGGTGGTAGCAAGCTGTGAGCTCGTCCCTCGGAGGAGCTGCAGGCTGGTCTTGGTAGAAGCACGGTAAACAGCAAGGCCTGCAAACCCGAGCAAAAGAAACTCAGCTAAGCAAGCGATTCGAAGATCTGAATCAAGCTTTGTGAAACACAAGCGAAACAAAACTCACAACATTTGGAAGTAATGCGTAAGCGGTGCAAATCGAAATTGCTCGCGCCAGCTGCAAACACCAACAACCCCACATAACACGAATAATGCCAGTGAGCCGACTGTCTACCGAACCACAACTCTCGCCAATGACGACGCACTCAGAACAGATGCTAGCACGATGCAGGCCTCATCTCGCTTGCCTCGAATGTATCCCAAGTCTGATTGATAGCTCGAGGTCTCTACCGTGGCCATCAGCACCTCACCTCTGCACAGCGCCCCAAGAGGGCACCAACATCCACAGAGAGGTTCCCAAGACAATCTCCGAACGCGTCAGACGGACCAATCGCATCATACTACGGCCTAAGGGAACCCCAAATAGCGCGAAGGGACCCCAGGAAAAACCCACTAGGCCCCCAAGACGCCCCCAGGAGGCCCCCAGAAGGCTCCAACAGAACTCCAAGAGACCACCAAGACGCGTCTTTCTCCTCCCTCTGCTCGTGTTCTGCCTCCTTCCTCTCCTCCTCCTCTCCTTCCTCTCCCCAGGCGGCTGCCCAGCCTTGACGGGGCCCAAGTCTTCTTCTCCTTCTGGAAGTCGATGCACATGCCAATCCACATAGGAAGACGTGCAGCAAAGCTCGACGGATTGTCGAACCGCTTGTCCTACGCGGGATGCATTGGGCATAACTCCAAGGTGGAATTCGCGACAAGGAACTGCTCAACATGGCGACCCATACACCCCAGGGCCATCTGGAATACGAGATTTCGCCTCCCTTGCAATCTTCTCCCTCGCCCTCCCCCACCTCTGCACCCAACGTCGTAACATGAAGAGGGGGCGCCGCCGACCCTCACGGTTGCCCTGCTGACCTCCCCCACGCCGGAGTCTCGCGCCGGGATTGTGCCAAGGCGCCGCCAAGATGGCCCAGGCGCCCACGAAGGCCTGCCAGGACAAGCCACGAAAGGCTGCCAGGACAACCCGGGAGACTTCCCAGACAGCTCAAGTAGTCCCTCCACGGCAGGCATAGAAGAGACCCTCCCCAAACATGAACACACACACAAATGAACAAATGCTAGCAAGCGTGACCGCACGCAGTGCATGATCGCACTGTGGAGGTGAAACCTATAGAGGTGTAGGCTATGTGATGCCAACTATGTGGCGTAATCTGTTACATTAAGCTATCTAGTGTAAGCTAGGTGGTACAACCCATGTGGTACAAGCTATGTCGTGTAAGATCAAAGCACGGGGCGCCCACGAGGCGGCACGGGCGGCAACGTGGCGCAACCTCGGCATACCCTCTACGCGCGGGGCGCCCATCAGGCGGCACAGGCCGCAACGCAGCGAGAATCCAGAATACCAACCAATTACCTCAAGGAAGACGAATAAGAAGCCTTAAGTGCAAGCACTGTTTGGGGCACCAACCAGGTCCTCGTCCTGGTAAGGCATACTGGCTCACTTTGCTCCTCGCCCGCCGCTCCTCCTCCTCCTCCTCCTCCTCCTCCTCCTCCTCCTCCTCCTCATCTTCGGCCTTGTATATTCCCCCTCATCTCCTTCTATCTCCTCCCCATTCTTCCCCTGTCTTCCTCCTCCTTCTCTTTCTCCTGATTTCCCTTTCCAGCTCCTCCTCCTCCTCCTTTTCCTCCTCCTCCTCCGCCTCCTCCTTCTCTTCCTCCTCCTCCTCCTCCTCCTCCCGCCCGGCATCGAAGAAAAGTCAACCCGAATGCAAATAAAACTGCCCTCACCCGCTGAAGGCAGCCGTGAGAAGGGATACCTTCGCCGAACACACATTCACACGCGCGCACGCACATGCACACGCACACGCACACGCACACACACACGCACACACACACACACGCACACACGCCAACGCCAACACCCACGCAAAAGCCCACGCCCTCGCCCACGCACGCGCACACGCCCACGCACACGCACACGCACACGCACACGCGCACACGCGCACACGCGCACACGCGCACACACACACACACGCACGCACGCACGCACGCACGCACGCACACACACACACATTCACACACACACGCACACAAGCACATACACACACACGCACACACACAAACACCCACACACACACACACACGCCCCCCCCCCCACACACACGCACACACACCCACTCACCCACAAACGCACCTACACACCCACACAGACCCACACAGACCCACACACAAACACACACGCGCGCACCCACACACACACACACCCACACACCCCCCCCCCCCCCCCCACACACACACACACACACACACACACGCACCCACACACACAGACCACACACCCAGTCCACACCTACACACGCCCACACACGCCCAAACCCCCCCCACGCCCACCACCACGCCTACGCCCATGCCCATGCACACGCCCACGCCCACCACCACGCCTACGCCCACGCCACGCCCACGCCCACGCCCACGCCCACGCCCACGCCCACGCCCAGCCCACGCCCACGCCCACGCCCACGCCCACGACCCACGACCACGCCGCACGCCCACGCACACGCACATGGACACGCACGCGCCAACGCACACGTACGCGCACACGCACACGCACACGCACACGCGCACGCACACGCACACTCTCACGCACACGCACACGCACATGTCACACGCACACGCACGCGCACGCGCACAAGCACACGCACACGCACGCGCACACGCACGCGCACACGCCCACGCACTCGCACACGCGCACGCCGATGCCCACGCACACGCACACGCAAACGCACACGCCCACGCCCACGCCCACGCCCACGCCACACGCACACGCACACGCACACTCTCACGCACACGCCACACGCACACACGCCGCACGCAACACGCACACGCACGCGCACGCGCACGCACACACGCACACGCACACGCACGCGCATACGCACACACACACACACACACGCACACGCACTCGCACATGCCCACGCCCACGCCCACGCCCACGCACAGACGCATGCACACGCACACGCACACGCGCACGCACACGCACACGCACACGCCCACACCCACGCCCACGCCCACGCCCACGCCCACGCACGCGCACACGCACACGCACACGCCCACGCCCACGCCCACGCCCACGCCCACGCCCACGCACACGCACACGCGCACACCTACGCCCACGCCGCACGCACACGCACACGCACACGCACACGCACACGCCCACGCACACGCCCACGCACACGCCACACGCACACGCACGCGCACACGCGCACGCACATGCGCACCCACACGCACACCCACCCACCCACCCACCCACATTCACACATTCACGCGAGCTCTGGCGCGTGCTATATACTTGCTGTTATGGCCCGAGCTTGAGCTGGCCATTCGTGAACTTCAGCAGCCAGTTGCAGCAGCTTTTCTGCAGGAGATGGGGGGCGATGGCAAATGGGGGCACACGGAGGGCGGCAACTACGACAATGATTGGCGCCCCCGTGAGTATGACGACGGCAAAGGGCTCCGGCAGAGGGGCCCCGAACGGCTCGGCGCCTCATTGGACGTGGAATGCTGTCCACCGATCGGCGGAACCGGCAAGTGGAGGAGGAAGTCCAGGGGCGGAAAGAGAAGGAGGCCCGTGAAGTCATGAAGGAAGCTGCCGTAGAAGGAGTAGCGCAAGCTTTCGGTTCAACAGGTGGCTCGTCTGGTGCTCGCTCTTCGCGGGCTCGTTCGCGGTAGCGCCCGACGAAGAAAAACCAGGCGAAAGACAGTTGGAACTTCATGAGAGTCCTCAAGCGCATGCTCCGTGAAACTACCAGTGACCAGTCGAGGCACGAAAGCAACGACAGGAGGGGCAGGAGCAGGGACAGGAGCAGGGACCACAACAGACGTACGAACAGAAGCAGGAGCAAGGGCCGTGATCTGTGGAAGAGCCGTGGGCGGAGGAGCAGGAGCAGGAACCATGATCGGTCGGTCGCCATCGCCACGTACCAGGCGTCGTAAGGAGGAGTCGATGAAAGACGAGATGATGCAGATGATGAGTTCTATGATACAGGAATAGCGCGATGATGATAGTGACTGTCGCCAGGGAGGACGACCCCCTGATGGGCCAGTGCTCGAGGCGACTGTCGCGAATGGGCCAGCCCGTCGCAAACTCAGGACGGCGTCCGTGATCGCAGCAACAAGGGCCGTGAGTGCAGTGGTCGACTCGCTTGATTTTTTTTGGAATGGATAGACCCGAAAGGAAAGTGCACGGCACCAAAACGGTCACATTTGAGACAGCCACTCTGGCTCAAAATTGCGGCCGCCACCAAAGCGACCTTAATAATCCAAACTACCTCAACTACTTGCCTGCAGAGGCTTCCGTCAAGCGAATCCTCAAACTTGTGGCCGCCACCAAAGCGACCCTAATCGTCCAAACTACCTCAACTACTTGCCTGCAGAGGCTTCCTTCAAACGAAACCTCTCGACCAGAGCAGCGGAGGAGGAGAAGGAGGTGGAGTCGGAGGGAAGACCGGAAGCGAGAGAGCAAAGAGGTGGAGGGCACTCCCGACCCCGCTAGGGGACGGACAAAGGATCCTAAGCAAAGCCTCGGATCCACCAGCAGAAACAAAGAAGGGGAAGAGGATGATAACTCCGACTGGTACAAGAGCGAGAAAAACTTCATCGACGGCGTCGTGGCCGCGACGACGGGCACGCAGCTAGATGATGCCATCGATGGGAATCTCGTCGATTTGTCCTCCAAGCCGAACGCGAAACCCAAGACGGCCATGGCTCCGTACCGCCGTGTGGCGGGGTTGTAGCAATAACCGCGCGATAGTAGCAACGAATGTTAGGAGTCGTGAGGTAGAGTGTTCCTTGGAGGGAGAGTGCAAAGGTTCATCTTCTATGTGATCGCTGCTGCATGGTGCTTCATTGCGGATGTAGTTGTCGTGTTCCTATCCCGTTGCTGTTGACAGGGGTGTTGCAGAAACGCGCGCGTACATATCTTGGCGAAGTGTGTATTATCTCAGCGGTTTTGTTGTACTGCTGGGTCACACATATAAAGGCAGCGTATGCTGCCTCGCAGGACCTGCCCGCCCTTGTTAGTTTCCACAATCATGAGTTCACGCTAGGGAGTTTAGCGCTGATCTTCTGAGTATGGGTAGACACCTCACAATGTGCCTCTGGATTCAGGTGTTTCTTCTTGGGCTGATGTTTGTGAAAACTGTTCAGCGCGCAGGTCTGTCTGATGTATGCGCCCGGCACCGCAGGAGTGGTCGTGGTTCTTGTGGCGATTGGCTTGAAGACGTAGCGGTGAGGGGGGCCTTAAGCCCTCAGCTAGAATCCCAAGGTCTACCGCGTCCTTCTCCCCGCTCCATTCTGTAACACGATGTATACACATCCAGAGTCATCTTCTTCTTCTCTGATATTTTCTTGGTCTGTATTGTGCTGCTCGCGCTGCCCGACCCGACGTCCCAGACAACCGCAGTGGAGCTCGAGAGGGGAGAAACAGCCATTGGTCGCCGATCGCCGACTGCTGTCTGCGGGAGTTCACGGGGGCCTCAAGACTGGGAGTGCAGCAAGGAGGAGGAGGAGGAGGTGGAGCGTGGCCGAGACGAGTCCGTTCCAGCCTACCTACCCGCCCGCCCCCTCCCCACGCGCCTGCGCCACGATGGGCTCGAGGTGAGCGCGACCGAGGAAGTGGCGCTGCCTGCCTCTTGTCGGAAGGCGCGCGGCAA